TCATTTCTGATACAATAATTTTCAAATCTAGCATTCCATTTGCTTCTACACACACACACACGCACACACACACACACACACACACAAACATGAAACAGAGAATGGAGAAAATCTGTGTGTGTGTGTTTAGAGGCAGTAACTACAACTTGATCATTAAAGAGAAAGGATTAAACATTCACCCTTCAATTCTGGAAGAAATGTAACTGAGCTCTAGTTGATAAAAAGAGGAGGCTCTTTATAGAATAATGGCAGCCAATAAACTGAGAAGATTGGAGAAAACATTAAAACTTCAATGCAATAATTCTTTTAGGTAAGAATAATTAGTGGAAATGACCATTAATAATTATTTATAAGGGATGGTTATTGGGATAGGACTATCTCAAGGTGATAGTTTATTACCCCAGATTGTTATTGAATGAAAAGGAAAAACTACACCTTTGTAATGGAGAAATATGATGGTCACTCATACAATTAAATGATCAAATTTTCATTGCTAAGAGATGGACAGTTGAACATTTTGTGCCACTTGTTGTGTTGTGATGGTTGGCACACGACAGGCTCTCACTTAACAGGACTCTATGAGTGAATAATTTTCATGATAAAAATTTCTAGTCTTCACCCATCACTCATATAACTATAAAAGGGAAGACCATGCCTCTGTCTTACTAAGGCCAATGGAACCTTGACATATCTCTCCACTGGCTGCCATTTTATGTCTATTCTCCAAGATTGTTTTCCCATAGCCTCTGTAGAATCATGCATATAGGTAAAAACAAAAACATTGAGGATGTTTTAAAGCAAAATTATTTTCTAATCAGTTTTTTTTTAACAAGGCAGATCATTTAAATTCTTCTGACATACGTTTGTGTTTCCTTTTATACTGAATTGCCACCTTGTTTCAAAGTCTGTAGATTTCAGTTGCATCCATTAATATTGTGATTGAAGAGTGTTATGGTTTTTATCCAGAATGACCCCTAAAGTCTCGTGTGTTTGGAGGGTGATTGAGTTATGGGAACAGTATAGATGACTTGCTGTTGAGAGATGGGGTCTGATCACAGGGAGCATGCCTGAAAGGATCGTCTCCCTCCCCAGCTCCTCCCTTCTCAGTCTGCTTCCTGCCATGAAAGGAGCAGCTTCCCTGGATGAGATCCTTCTTGCATGACATTTCTGCCTAGAGCCAACCAAACATGCAAGGACTAAACCTTATAAAATCGGAACTAAAATAAACCTCTCCTGTGTTAAGTTGTTGGTCCTAACCATGAGAAAGTAACCAAGACAAAAAGCATCGTGTTCTTTTGGGCCACTTGATGTTATCCTGCCAGCTACTCTTCATTTGAGCTGTAATTGTCATGTGATAGTATTTATCAGTGTAATATTGAAAATACTGTGACATTTTTGGAAAACATGTGCAGTTATGATTTCAAAATAGCTACATTGGTTTGGCAGAAGGAAACCCTACATTCTGATGCATGCCCATAATACGTGTACAGACTGTCCACATTTGTTCATTGGTGTGGGCTCCGTGGGTAGATGAGCCCGCCAGACTTCTTGGCAATCCTAGCAAATATTAATAGAACAAAAGAAACCAAGAAACATAACCAGCAGCTGCTTCCTTTTTTACTAGCCAGAATATGTACATCTATTCGTCTCTCTAGAGCTGTTATTCTGCCAGCCAGTAGTCTGACATCCATGATGAAGTTAGATTTTGAAAACAAATAATTTAGCTTCATTTTTGCAATGTCAAGCAATTCATATAAAATTTTACTGATATAAGGACTGGAAGAGCTGATACACTGCTGGAGATTCATTCAGAGCAAGGTATTAACAGGGGTAAGCCCCACTGAAAATGAATGGTGAGAAATTAATACCTCCTATGAGCACATAATTTTATATATATTGTACAAAAAGCAATAAAGCTGTAAAGAAGTTCTGTGTAAATACATCTTCAACAGAGATAAATGAAAATATTCAAATGAAAATGAAAATATTACTGGCTAGGTTTAGAATTTGAATGTGTACTTTGAAAGTATAACATTAGAAATGGAGTGCATTTATGTTGGGATGGAGTTTCGATTCATCCCAAAAGGAGTGAGTAGAGACTATCTTGTTTCAGATCCATTTAGTGGATACTTGCCGGCGGTGGCATCTTCCCCTGTGCACAGTGAGCAGTAGATGACTCCTGATATCCAGGAAAGGACAGTGATGGGGAGACAGGACGCACACACGTGACTACAAGGCAAAGCAGTGTGCTGTGAGCACCAGAAAAGGGAAAGCAAAAATGTTTTTAAAAGCTTAAAGGCAGCGGAAGCCAGAGGATTTGTGAAAGAGGTTTTGTTGTAGGCCTTAAATGATGGATTATACCAGCTGAAGATGGGGACGGCATGGGCATCTGATAGCTGGGCAAGTTTCTGTGGTTTGTGAAACAGCGTCTCCTCGGCGTTCACATGGAAGCCATGCACACAGCCATCATGATGGGCCCTGTCTTCCTCGTTAGACTGTAGTTTCCTGAAGGGCAATTAATGCCAATTCAATCATTTGCAGATTCTATACTAATGAATTGATGGACTCACTTAACATCATTTGTGGATGAAGTTCACAAATGCACTTCCCCATTTTCACTGTCATTTATGGATCGCTGAGAGCAGTGAGCAGTTTTTAGTCACTCAATGGCACATGTTTCCAGCTGAGGACAGGGACGTGCACACCTGCTTTCCTGGTTCAGCGCTCATCTTGAAAGCAGGTGTCCTTTTTGCAGTCATTTCTGTGCTTTGGATTGGGGATTTTGATGTTTCAGATGGTCCTGAAGCTATACAGTGTTGCCAAGTGCCAGAAGACTGCGATGTACCTCCTCCAGAGTTATTGTGCTGTTGGCCATAAGTTTGATGTTAATTCAACAATATCTATTAAATAAGGTGCCTTTAAACAGTGACTTACATGAAAGAAGGCTATATACTGATTGACTGACAAAAGTGTTCAGACCGGATGCCTACAGGAAGAAAATTTGCCCCTAGGAACCAAGATTCAATATTTGCTCATTTAGTGTTTGCAGTGACTTCATAGAGCCTAAGTAACAAGCATTCCCGACATTTGGTATTTCTGCATGCCTAGCATTCATTGTTTAGCAAAAGGCCATGGAGTTTTATGAGCTGTTGCATGAATATAGGGAACTTGAAGCAATAAATCAGCTTCCCAAAATATGTGAAGACTGAGTTCAGGCATTGGGCGTGTCATCTAGGGAATAGACAGCCATTGGAGATGTTTCTATCCTGGGAGCAATCTTTCGGTTGTGATTGTTCAATAAGCATCAGGTAAATATACTAGGTCGTGTCATGGATAGAATGAAGGTCCCTGAAGCCTGCTTATTAGGAGCTGTTGTAGAAGCCCTAAACGTTTCTTTAGGAAGGTTAATTTCACTGTATTGGATGGTTGCAAAAGGAGAGAAACTGAAGACACAAAACCAAGTTATGCAGGTCTGCAGTGATTCTGATAAAATTTTTTCAGGGAAGAGGGGTGTTCAGGATTGAATCTGTTTTTTCTTTTAAACAGGACATGTGTGCCATCTAAATGACTTTTACTTTAATGACAATTTCTTTCTCAGAGTGGATATTTAAATATTACTAATGCTTAATTTGCCGCCGTGTTGTAAAATGTGCCTATATAGAGATGTATTCTGTTATTCAATATTCATTATAAAATTTTGTCTAAAAACTACAGAGACTCAGAGATCAGCATTAATTATATTTTCAGTAGCATATATAAATAAATCCTTTTTTGTAAAATGCCTAGTTCATTTGTTTTTTTCGTTTCCATTAATTGAGAAATAAAACTGTGTTCTCACAGCATATTGATAGAAAGCTTTAAATATGCAGAGCTATTTAGTTAAATTTTGGTTTAAAAATACTTTCTCAGGCACTTTTTTTCTTACTAGAAGTCAGTTTTTGAGCCAGTTTATATCTCACTGTAGGCTGTTTGCATCACCCATTTTACGAGGTTATGCAAAACTGATATCCTACTTGGATCCTTTGGGATAATTCATTTTTTTTCCTGGAAAACTCATCTCAGGTAATCAAGAAATGTAGATCTTTTAAAATGTCAGTTTTCAAGGAAGAATTTGAATGGCATTTCAAGATAGCAGAGTTTATTCTATCTGTGGCTAAATACTACATGCGCTTAATTTAGTGGGAGATTTACAAATCAAAGAATTTTGATGTTCTTTATCTTTTTGCATGTGCTTTGAATTTAATATGTCTTTGTGAACAAAGCCATGTTTGTAAAGGATATTAAGTTCTTCTTGGCCTTCTCCTCCATTGCAAGCACTCAGTGGACCTATTGCAGGGTTATGCTCCCTGGACTGATTGATGTATAAACAGAAGACAGATGGCGTAGAGATGACTCTGATGATAATTCATTTTTCAGCTAGTCATGAAGATATTTTGATTACAGTGTGTTTAAGCAATTATAACACAGTCTGCAATGTCAGTCTTGCTGGGAAGCGAGCACATGGAAAACAGGTTAGGTGTTCTTCGTGCCCAACAAAGGATGCACTGTGGGGTAAAGATTTTAATTCCTAATGCTAGATTAGGACTGAAGGAGTTTGAAATATGTCATACAGTGAGGTTAGTCAATTAAACGTAGACCAAATAAAAAAGGTAACCGCACAGCTTTGAGGCATAAATATTTGTTTTGGAAAGTATTTAGATATTAGTATATGAAAGAAACCAGTACTTTTTTGCATTTAGGCAACAGTCTGTGTAATTAAAAAATTATGTGGCTTGATTTTAAGTTTATGTGAATTGTAATTATCATGTAGCTTGCTTTCCATGTCATGAATTTAAAACTGAAATCAGAGGGCGGACAATTCAACAGCGTGTTATAATCTTGCTGTTGTTGATATTTTACAAAAGAGAAAACAACAATTACTGTTGTGTGACTAGGTGGGTTAAGTTTTCATTTTCACTTACTAATTACAGATTATACCACTGTTTCTGGTTTCACCATAGAATAATTGATCGCTTAGATGGAGTTCGCTTGTTGTGGTCCCTGCTGAAAAATCCTCACCCTGATGTGAAGGCCAGCGCAGCGTGGGCCCTCTGTCCCTGCATCCAAAATGCAAAGGTAGGAGGAGCAGGCTGCAAAGCATCTTGATTTAGAATCTCAGCTACCATGTTGAATGATGTCACCATGGGTCACTAGTTGCTCTCACTTACTGTTGGCCAGACTGACCTGGTGGGAAAGAATGCTGAACAGTGAGTATGCAAAGAGTGTTGAGCAGTGCCTTTTTCTGGTCCATTTAAAAATGCCAAACAAAAGTAGTCTAAGACGACAGTGCTTACCAAGTCCTCCTTGGATAGTGCAGTGGACGCAAGTACCCCGTAAGTCAGGATGAAGCAAAATTGCCTTGTGTGATAAGGAAATCTTCTGCACTTGCCTGCTGTTTCCAGAGAGGGCAGGACTGCAGGGGCTGGGCTGCTTGCAGGGTAGGGACAGCCTCGGAGCGATCACTGAGGTTGGCCTCACCTTGCAGGCCCCTAACTTCACTGACTGGCTTTCCTCTCTGTCAGCAACGACTAGGTTAGAAGTTTCTGATGTCTATTTTGGCTCTTCTCTTTAAATCTTACTATTTTCTTTAAAGGCCTCATTTTCAGCCAGCCTGTTTTCTTATCTTAATATTTTTTGACCAGAAATTTTCCTTGAAGACCCTTGTTGCTGATACTTCTTTCCGTTGAATGTTTTCATCTGAAGGATTTTATTTCTATAAGAAATTCCATTGCCCTAAATTTAATCTTTTGTAAAAAGTGAGCTGTCAGGTATGGTGGGAGCGGAGGAGACCTACTACAAGTTCAGCCATTTACTGCCAAGGTTAAAGAATTAAAAAGTCTCAAATGTCCAGCCACAGGAAAACGGACAAAAAGGAATAAAATAGTACTCTATTCGTACCATATCATGCAGTGCAGCAGCAAAAAATGAATTTATTCAAGCCGTGTAGTCATTAATATTGATAAATCTCATAAACATTAAGCAAAATAAAAACAAGTTGCAGGAGTAGATAGATAATATGATTCCTATTGAGCTTCAAAGAACGTTTTAAATGTAAAACTTAAACCATATTATTTAGAGAGCAAGAAACAAAAGCCAATTGGGCATAGGTAGATACACATCTTTAAAGCATAATCCTCATTGGTTCCTTCACCTATCAGCCCAGCCCTTCATTCATAAATATGAACAACCAAGATGAGCAAATACTGGAGAAATACTAATGGTATTAAAGAGAGAAACCAAGATTAATAAGCAGAACTAACTTCAGAGGGAAAAAAAGATACTGTGAGGAAAAGAATATGCTATGAAATTTTAGAAATTAATATTCTCAGAGAGATCCTATATTTAAATAGGCTGTTATGAAAAAAATACTCAGTAAGAAAAGTCTTGAAATAAAAAATTATTTGGCAGAACCATAAATTTAGTAAGAGGGATGAATATTATTGGTGTGGCTAAATAATTACCTCAAAGGTAAAGTCTGATAAATAAGAATGTAAAGCAAAAGTGAAAAGAAGACAGGACATAAAATCACATTAAAAGAAAGAGTAATTGAGGGGAAGAAAAAGTCGTAACTTTTTTAGGGCAAATTTTCTTAAGCTGGATCGCTGCTAATCTTCAGATTAGAAAGATTCACTTAATGGCAAGCAGGAAAACAAGCAAACAAAAACGCCTATACTGATACACAAATTTAAACTTGATGTTTTCAGAGATTAAAGGAAAGCAAAAAGTTACAAAAAAGGGAGAATTACACTAGCAGTAGACTTAATATCATACACAATAAGTTCTGAAAACAAATGGAATAAAAAGCCTTTTCTTCCTTTAGAAGAAAATACTTTTTTATCCTAGAATACTATATCTTACAAAATTTGCATTCAAATATGACCATAGAGTTAGAACAGAATAAAGACGTCTTTTTAAAAGAAATGCTGAGATTATTTCCTATGAACTTTTTCTGAATTTTTTTAAACTTTAGGGTATTTTCCAGAAAAAATATTCTAAGAAAGCAAACAATGTGAGTTGTAAGAGACAAGTGAATACACAATTAGAATTTCAATTAAATATGAATTTATATTGATAATATGCTTGATTAAATTATTAAGAAAGAATTCCTCCAAAAGTAGTAGCATAAAAAAATAAAATAAAAACAGCGTTGTTACACTAATAATAGTCTGGCTCCAAGCTACCAGATGATTCACAAAACCTGTTAGGTAGTAGGAAGTAATCAATAGGTAAAAGTGTACCAAGGTCTTTCCTTTTCCTAGAAAAAATAAATGTTATAGAAACTACAGTGGTACCTTGGTATTCGCCGTTACTTGGTTCCAGGAGATGTGAGGGTACCAGAAAGGTTGAGCACCAAACAAATTGCTTTGGCTAAGAAGGGAGCAAGTCACAAGCAGTCACCACCAGCAAGGTCTAGTACCAAACAAAAGACCTGTAGCAGGACAAAATTTTCACTTCAAAATGTGTCAAGTACCAAATTCATGGAGTTTCCAAGCAGTCAAGTACCAAGGTATGACTGTAGTTAATTCTCAGTGATCATTGAAAATACAAATTTAGGTATGGAATTTAGTGGTATCATTGGTGACGTACCATTTCATTTAGATAGTGTATTTCTCCTGATGCTGTTATTTTATGTGAATTGTGTCTGCTCTTCTCCTGGACTTGAACTTCTGGACGTGGACCTGCCTTGCACCATTTTCCTATTCGTTATTCCTGTGTGGGCTTTCTACCCTGAATATCTGGTCTCCTGGGCTGATCAAACCTTAGCCATGACCCAGCCTGCCTCTCTTTTTGCCCTTGACCCCAAAGCCCAAACTCGATCCATCCTCCATAGAGAGCTCCTCTTGAACCATTTCTCTGTATGCTTCCCACCCCCAGCAACCTAGAGTCCTGGAATTCTTCTCAACCTCAGCCTTCTTACCTGTCTTGATGGAGAGACAGACTTGTGGAGAGTAGATCTCTCATCCACTTCTCTCACCAAGTGCACTCTCCTGTATGCACTTGCTGTTCAAGCAGGACGAGCATTTGGAGAGTCTTTAACCTGGAAGTGACATGAATAATGTGGAGAAGTGGAACATGTATGGGTAGGTAATTAAGCTATTACAATAGCTGAGATGCAAAAAAGTTAAAAATTTCTATAATATAGTGGTGGTGGCATGGAGAGAGGAGTCAATGTAAGAAATAATTGAGAAGTAGAATCAGAAATTGGTGAGCGATTAGATGTTGGCTGTGAAGAAGTCAAGAAAGATTTTTTGATTTGTTGTTATTTAACTTCGACAACTAGGAACACATTACAACTTTTACCAAACACAGGTATGTGATTTTTGAGAAAAAATTGTGAATTTGCTTCCATCCAGGTGGACATGTCCAGTAACTGGAATATATGAAACTGGGTGTCAGGAAAGAGTTCTGGTCTGGTACTGTACACATTGGTGTCACAAGCAGGTAGAGGTGGAGGTCTTGAGGACAGTTGAAAGGGACAGAGAGTGCAGTGAGAGGAGATCAATTATGACAGCCAGAAGTCCAGGAGTAAGATGGGAGTGTGGAGCCCCCAGGAGAGAGCAATTGTAAGAAGGCCAGAAAGAAGCCAAGTCAGGAAGGGAGAGGGTACATTCACAGAATCCTTGACTCTGAGAGGACAAATACATGTGAAAACTGAAAAGAAGAGATGAAATGCTGCATGAAGATTATATAGTCTAATTGGGCATGGCCATTTCTATCGAGACCTGAGAGTTTAAAACCAAGTGGCACCAGGGTGAGAGATGAATTGAGAGAAGGAAATTAAGAAAATTAATAGAGCTTTGTGTAAGCTTAGTGTTTGTTGGTTTTTTTGTGTGTTTTTTCCTTTGTTTTATTTGAGATTAGGTCTCGATATGTTGACTAGGCTTCCGAGCCTCCTGCCTCAGCCTCCCCAGTAGCTGGGATTACAGGTGCTGTGAAGTCTAGATGATAGCTCAGGTTTCAGGAATGGTTAATATGGGAGAGGCATGAGTGCACATAGCTAAAGGAGGACTGGACACAGGGGTGTAAGGAGGCGGGAAGGAAGGGAGGAGGAGGGGAAGGAGGCAGGGAAGAGATACTGAAAGGAGCGCCTCCTTATTTATCCAGGCAACGAACCAATCTGTCCACTTACTCTGATTTGAAATTCAGAAGTGAGAAATTTATCAAAGGGATATGATTTAATATCCTTCCATGAATTTAAAAATTTGAAGTAGACTTGTTAGCAGATCACTAACTTGGCTAATTACTTCAACAGTAAGGACTGGCTTTTCTGATTGGGTAAAATGGAAGACATTTCTATATATTGAATTAACTAAATATACAGAGTCAGAATTTTGATGAGTATATATATATATATAATCAGAAATGACATCTTCTGTGTGACTAAATTTACGATGAAAACATGTTTAGGTGTTGATCTACAATGGATGAGGAGGATACATAGCTTTTCAAAAATGTCTTGTGATATGTGAGCAAAACCTTGGAAGACCATTGTTCTAGTCTGTCAAGTCTAGACCTGAAATGGGAGAGATGGAAGCATAATCTTTCCTCGAGAAACTAGTCTGATTTGCAAGGCCCTGAGCTTTTTGAGAAATCCCCTTCTGCAGAGTCAGAAGCCGAATATTATGTTGGTGCTCACAGTTACATCTTTCCGCAACCAAACTCATTCTCCCGGGGCAGGAGGACACTTCACGGACAGAGTACCAAGGAACTCGTGGGCTCAGAAAAGGAGGAGGAAAGATTGCACGTCTATGATATTTACAATAGATAGAATCTCATTGTTGATACAGACCCCAGTCAAATCATGGTTGAAGAAGCTCTGGCTAAATGAAACTCTCTGTGCTGATGACAGCATCCTGTTCACATAGGTGACCACGCCCCTTGAGCGGGGCCGTGGAGAGCTTAGGTTGTGACTGTATGGCTTTGGCTCCTGGGTATTGTTTTGGTCCCAAATCTAAGGCAGGCAGACAGTGGTGAGTTGTAAGGCAACTGCTAAAAAGAAATGAAAACCTCAAGAATGGTTCCATGTTAATTACGTACATTTTAGTAAAGTGCCGGGAAAAAAATTACCTATGTTT